AACAGTTAAACCATCTTTTAGAACGCCAGTATTAACCAGAAGTTTATCCAACAGTGTTTAATAATACACTGTCAAACTTTTTGGTAGTATAATAACACTTAGTTTACTACAAGTAGCTCAAAAATAAATTTGGGATGGTTGTAAAACACATTCAGAATTATTAATTACAGTGAGGATGCTAAGTATCAAAATTGAATATAAAATTTTTCGTGATTATTTTACTGACTTCATTGCTCTTCTCAAGGAAATAAATCCAACGGATAATTTAATCCCTTTAGATTTATACAGAACAAAAAACTTAGTATCCAAGTTGGGTCTCACAGCTAAAAAAATTTATTATTCTATCAATGGATTTAAGTTATACTACAAGGATGATGCAACATAAGTTTATTTTCGCACCTACAATCCACCTCTTTTCAAATAAAACTCAGGAAAACAATGTCATCAAAAGAAAGATATTTCACATTCTTGTTTATTTTATTTACTGATCATTCAAAGACTTTAGTGGCTCTATGCATCAATGAGTTCAACAGGTCATATTAGATGGTATAAGGAGAAATTAGCAAACATTTGTGCTTTTTCTCATCTATTAGATGTTGAAATGTGAAAACATTTTGATCGAACACATGCTTTATTTGTTATTGAGCCACGCAACATAAGATTGGATTTGTGTGTTGACGTTTTCACTTTATATAGATAAGCACCTTCACCATACTATTGTTGGCCAATTATACTGACACCATACAACCTTCCACCAGAGATATGTATGACTACCCTATAAATGTTCTTAACACTTATAGTACCTGGACCACATAATCTAAAAGCAAAAATTGATATTTGTTGTAATCATTAATTGATTATCTCAAGTTATTATGGTAAGAAGGTGTCCTTACATCTTATGTCTCAAAAAAAAAATCTCCTTTGAGTTGCTTTGCTTTGGATTATTAGTGATTTTCTAGCTTATGATGCATGGTCTGATTGGAGTACAATAAGAAAATTAACTTGCCCTTACTGCATGAAGAATCCTAAAGCTTTCCACTAAAACATGGAAATAAAAATACTTGGTTTGATTTTCATTATATTTTCCTACCTTCTAATCATCCGTTTAGGAGGAATAAGGAAGCATTTATTAAAAATAGAGTTGAAAGGTCACCTTCTCCATCCAGATTATGTGGTGATGATGTACTATAAAGACTTTTTAAATTTTCATCAATTATTAATTTTCCAACATTATTTGATTCTAAATTTATCGAATATAGTATTCAATATAATTGGATTAAAAAAAGTATTATCTAGACATTACCATATTGGAAAATAAATTTGATAAGAGATAATATGGATGTTATGCATATTGAGAAGAACTTCCTGGATAATATAGAGTAAGTTCTTGCATAATGTGCAGAAGAAGTAATGTATATTTAAAATACTTAAGTCTTATTTGGAAGATTTGTCACCAAATATTTCATAAATAATTTGCCTCTAACAGATACTACAGATATTGAGCAAGTTATTGCAAATGAATTCCCAGCTTAATTTAGATCTTATGTCAGCCTTTAAATTTTAAAATTTTTTATTTAAATTATATCTTATTTAATATTAAAAAACTCCAACATTTAAAAATTTTCTTAGGTACATAAACCTAATAATAAGTGTTTTGATAAAGGTTTTCAAGCACTAACTGGGGGCCCAATCCGAAAAGTAAAGTCCTGGCAAATATATATATTGAATGGATTCAAATTTCCTTCCAAGTCATGGAGTGAAGGAAGAAAATTAAAATTTATGGAGTATGTATTAGAGGGAATACTCATGAAGAAGATGAGTGTGATTATTATGATATTCTGAATGAGATTCTTGAGCTGGAGTAACAAGATGAAGATAAGCGCTTTATATGTTTGTAAAATTGGCAATGCTATGATCTAGTAAAGAATAGAGTCACAAGGGTTCATCATGCATATGGTTTAGTTGATATAAAACGTAGTAGAATATACATAAATTTTGATCCATTTGTGTTAGCAAGTCAAGCTATTCAAGTTTATTTCAGCAAATATTTCTGTGGTCATAAGAATAAACAAGATTGGCTAGTAGTTATAACAATAAAAACACCAGTTATAATTGATCAATAATACGTCATAGCAACTACAAATCAAGAGAATGAGATGTCAATTTATATGCCTGTTGAAATTGAGAAGCTGTCAACTATAATACATAATATTGAAATACAGTTAGAAGATGTGAATAGTTCAACTAGCTCATAAAGTGAGAATGAGGATGAAAGTAAAGATACCCTTGAGAGCAATGAAAATATTTCTGATTTTGAATAGTTCTTATAAATATTAGTAGGAAGCAAGAGATCAGTTAGAGAGAGAAGCTCCACACATTAGAGAGAGAAAGTTTTGAAAAATTTAAATTTTTATTCCCGGATTATGTTTCTATTTTTTAGGAACTGAGGGGGACGATGGCGGCGGACTGCCTCCGGCAAGGGCAGGCTATGGACACGAAAGGTTAAGACCAACCGCAATCATCATCATCGAGGTCTCCGTCGTTTGTGGGTAATTCAAAGATAAATGTGAAACGTAATGGTGCGTCATTTTTGAATTCCAATCAGAGAATTTAAATTCCTTTAATGAAATGGCAAGGACCATTGGTAATAAAAGATGTATCAGAAATATTGCCTAAGTTGATCAAGCATGTGGAAGGCAAAGGTAAGGCTATAACTGAAGTTGTGGGTATGGTTACTCCAAATAGTTTGATATCATCTGTAATTCCTTCTGATAATACTGCATCTTCTTCTGGAATGAAAATTTTTATTAACCGGTTTGGGAAATCGAATGCAATCCCTGGACTTAGTCGCAGCATGATAAATGAGAATTCTCAGAATTTGGTTGACAATAATATTCATTCTGTACCGTAATGGAGGAAGGACTCGAAAGGAGATAAGTTGTCTGATGGAATACCTAAAAACTCTGTAGGCTTGGGTAATGTGAATCTATTGAGTATCAAACCATATATAAAATTGGATTTTAAAGAGGAGGAGGAGGTTTTTTCTGAAGACAGAAAGGTTGTAAGGTTAAATGAAGAACTAGAGGAAATGAACTCAAAGAAACTATCAAATTCATTGGTAATTAAGGTATTTGGGAAAATTTTACCATCCCATATGGTGGCTTGGGAGATAAGGAAGCAATGGAGTCAATTTGGGAAAATTCCACTTTACTACATTGGGTAGAGGATGGTTATTATGCTCATTCTCCTCGGAAGAGATGGTAGAAGCAGTTCATTCAAGGGGCCCTTGGTTTGTTAACGGGTATATAGTAGGTATGGAGAGGTGGACCCCGGACTTTACTACTGCATCTATAAAGGGACTTTCTTCTCCAATTAGGATTAGAATGCCCCACTTACCTTTGTAATGTTGGGATGAGAAGAACGTAGATTGTATTGCTTCAAGAAATGAAAAACCACTTATGTTGGATGATAACATGTTTCATTGGGGAAGGAGAGAATTTGTTAGAGTATGTGTAAGAATTAGGCTTAATCAACCTCTTCTAATAGGTGTATGGGTGGATTGCATTTCTGGAAGGTTCTTCCAAAATGTGGAGTATGAGAAGGTATCCAACTTTTTCTTTGTATGTGGGAACATTGGACATGTGGATAATGAATGTGATCTAAAAGTAAAAAAATCCTAAGGTTGTAGAGGTTGCTGATTAAAGTGGTAGAGGAAATGGTGTGGGAAGGAAACAAGAGGTTTTGAAAGAACCTTGTTATGGTCCATTGATACTGGTAAACAACAAGAGAAGCAAAAAATCTAAACAGAGCAACAAGGTGATTAAACCAAACACTGTCAGATATGTTAAAAAATCTTTTGTTCCATTGATAGTTGCGCATGAAGTTCGGACTGTTATGGATGATGGTATCAGTGAAGTCTCTATCCAAGGATTCCAGGAAGATTATGTGAAGAAGCTGAACAATTTGAAGAGGGGGAGTTTAGATTGGAAGGATATAAAGTTGAAAAGATGGAACAATACATTGTTCTAATGGAATAGGAAATGTCGTTTAACAAAAGTGATATTAGTTATGGTCATGATCTCTCTCAGGTTGATAACTTGGAGAAGGCTGATTCTTCTTCTATTTCAAATGACAAAGATGGGAAGGGTTGCTTGCGAACTCAAGTAAGTCCTAATGGATTACTTACAAACTCAAGTATTCCCTATCAAAAAACTGATTTCAAACTTCAAAAAGATATAAGAGTTCAGGAAGTCAAAGAGTTTTAACCATTAATTTCTATCAGCAATTCTGCTGAATTGGTAGCAGAAAAAAAAATTTCTATGGAACTTCCTGTTGTTCATAAGAGGTAAAACATATTCTCTATACTTCAAATAGTTAATGAAGATGGAAATGCAAATACTACTGAAGAAAATTCTTTTGTTGATAAAGAAGAAGGTGAGCTGAAGGCGGATGGAAAAACTGTTAACAAAGTGGATGTCCGAAAGGATTTGGTGAATAAGTTTTAATATGACATTTGTCTTAATAAGGACATGCCTAAGTGCAAATTGTCAAAATAACTCAAATCTTTAGTGCCCATTAAAACTAAAGCTCGTGGAAGAATATGAGAAAGGAGGTAGTAGGAAGAAAGATGGGGGCTACTCCCCAAAAAAAGCTTAATGGAATCCATAGCTTTTTGGAATTGTAGAGGGGCAAAGAAGAAGGAAGCCTCTATATATATGAAAGAATTTATCAATGATTACAAGGTATTCTTTGTGAGTCTGGTGGAAACTAAAATAAACTCTTTTGATAGAGTTGACTTTGAGAGGATGATGGGTCCTAATTGGGATTTTCTTATTCTTCCTTCTGAAGGATTGTCTGGCAGCATTATAATTTTATGGAGAACAGATATAGCTTCCTTTTTAGTATTAAAGACTTCAGATTAATGTGTGATAGGGGATCTTAATGTCTTTAACAAAGGAATATGGATGATTGCTACTGTGCATGGGAGCAAGTAGGTTAACATGAGGAGATTTTTATGGGATAGAATTCATGAGCAATCACATAGGAAGATTCCAACTATTATTGGTGGGGATTTCAACTGCATTTTGTCCCAAGAGGACAAAAAAGGAGGAAGGAAGTTTGTCTTTTCTCAAGGTTCCTTAGAAATGTTCAAATTAATGAATGATAATGACTATCATGATGTTGGAGTGGTTAGTCCAAGATATACTTGGTTCAATAATAAAGTGGGAATTGGAAGAATTCTTGAACGTTTGAATAGGTATTTGTTGAATTCCATGGCTCTTCAAAATATCCATATTGCGGTGGTAAGACACTTAGCCAGAGTGGCTTCAGACCACTGCCCTATAGTGCTGAAATTATTTGAAGTATCAATAAGGATGAGAAGATATATCAAGTTTGAAGAGGTTTGGTTATCCTTTAAAACATTGGCGCACATAGTTTCTAAAGGAGGGAAGAAGAAGTATGTGGGAGATGATTTGGAAATCTTGAACAAAAAGTGCAAGAGAACTTTAAATGATTTGTTTTACTGGAGTAAGAACAAACTTAAAGACTTTTCAAGTGAAAAGGATAGGTTGAAGGCTGAAATATTACTACTTCAGGACGAAGAAGCTAGGAATGGCTGGATGGATGAAGAAAATATATGGCAGCTTAAATCTAAAGTAAAAGAGTTGAATGTTATTTTCAATTGCTTGAACACTTGGTGGAAGCAAAGAGCAAAAGTGAAGTGGGTGGTTGAAGGGGACTCAAACACAAAATTTTTTCATTCCTATGCCAATGCTAGGAGGAATGCTAATTGGGTCTCTAAAGTGAAGAATTCTGATGGCTTGATCACCGATGATCCTAGAGAAGTGGAAGAAGTTTTTTTCAGATTCTTTCAAGAAAAATAGTAGGATAGATACTGTAGTTTGGAGAACTGGCCGGAACCTTGGATGGTTTTGGAAGAAGTTGACAAGATTTTGTTGAGAAGGGAGCTTTCATTGGTTGAAGTTAAGGAGGCTATTATGAGGTTAGGGAACAATAAAGCTCCGGGATGTAATGGATTGTCACATTCCTTTTTCAAAAGCTATTGAGAGATTATTAGTGAAGATGTTTATAAAGAAGTAAGACATTTTTTCTCTATAGGAAAGATGAGTAATGATTGGAATGATACTTTGGTGGTGCTTGTTCCAAAGTCTACTAATCCTTTAACTCCTTCTAACTTTCGTCCAATCAGATTATGTAATTCAATTTATAAAATTGTGGCCAAAGTAATTTTAGATAGAATGTTATTGGTAATTCCAAGGATCATATCTGAAGAGCAAGTGGCTTTTGTGAAGGGGAGATCTATTTCTGATCATCTTTTATTAGATCAAGAGATTTTTAGTAAACTATGGCATTTAAAGGCTTGCAATGTGTATTTGGCCATCAAATTGGATATGGAACAAGCATACGATAGTATGTGTTTGTTAACATTAAAGAAGATGATGATGGAGTTGGGATTCCCGGACAAAGTTCTTGGACTGGTTATGGAATGTGTTTCAAATCCAAGATTCTCTATATTGATCAATAGGACAAGATCAAATTGGATTGAGGGAAGATGTGGGTTTCGACAAGGAAGCCCACTCTCTCCATTCTTGTTTATTATATGCTCTCAGCTATTAACTATTTTTTTTTTATAGCAGAGGAAGGGATTTGGGAATCATAATTAGCTCTAATGCTCCAAGGATTACTCATCTTATGTACACAGATGACGTCTTGTTGTTTTCAGATGAAAAATTAAAAAATTTTAAGAAGATGAGAAACATGCTGAAAAACTATTGCATATGGACCAGACAGAATATTAATCAACAAAAATCATCTTTGTTTTTTGGAAAATCGGTGTTGAGGAGGAGGAAGAGACAAATATCAAAGTTGCTGAAATTCAAAATGTTGGAAGAATTAGATTACCTGGGAATCAAAATTGCTTTAAGAATATTAAAAAGGGATATTTCCAAATGTTGTTGGATAAAACAATTAAGAAAATAAATGAGTGGGTAAATAGATATATGTCGTTAGCTGGAAGATTATGTTTGGTAAAATAAGTTCTTCTTACTTTACCTGTTTTCTTAATCTCTCACTCTCTTGTCTCAATGAGAACTTTAAATGAGTTGGAAAAATTCTGTAGAGACTTCATCTGGAATAAAATGGATAGAAGCCACGGTTTGCATTATGTGGCATGGGAGATGTTATGTAGACCAAAGCAAAGGGGCAGATGGGGTCTTCAATCAGAAATAACCATAATTGGGCCACTTAGAGCAAAGTATACATGGAATCTCATTGAGAAACCAAATACATTATTGAATAGAAACCTGCTAGCTAAATATGGTAAAAGGTGGTGGAGTAAGGAGTATTTTAATGGAGGATCAAATTCATGGAAAATCTGTACCAGTGGATGGAAAGCTCTTAAAAAGTTTATAAGATGGAAAGTAGTAGATGGTTCCAACATTAATGTATTAAAGGATGCATGGATTCTGGATATGAGTCTACTTAAATGGCCAACTTTTGTGGGATGCTTTGATAATGAAAATTCTACTCTTGAATATTTCATAGAGGATGGTAAATGGGATTTTAGCAAACTTAAACAATGCTTCAGTGAAGACCTTATGAAGATTATTGAAGGAGTACAGATCTTCAATACTGCAATTCAAGATCACATGGAATTGAAGCTTCAGTTTACTGGTAAAACTAACTCAGCTTTGTTGATGGAAGATAATCTTAAAGAAGTAATGACAGGGGATTTGTTTACATGGATTCATAAGCTTAAGATTAATGCTCGGGTGGAGATGTTTTTGTGGCGGTTATGCAGAGATGCTATTCCTACTGAAGATTTTCTCTTTAGAAGAAACTTTTGGGTAATTGCCTATGTCCTATGGAATGTGGGGTGATTGAAGACCTTGATCATGTCACGTCTTATTTTTTAATACTTGTGAAAGAGAGCAATGTATTAAGAGGATGGGGATTCAAAATTCAAGATTTTTGTAATTGGAGAGACTTCTTACAAGGAATCAAAAGAATAATAGAGGAATATGTGATGACAGCAAGGATATATGCATTACTATTATGGATGGTTTAGAATAATAGGTGCAAGGTTAAACATGGAAAATTGAAGTAGTAATGTAATGATTGCCATTTCAGTTTTAAACTTCTATAGCTCAGTAAAATAGGGTATTTATCGCTCAGACCACTGGGTGCTTATCGGTCCAAAGGACTGTTCTTAGATTATTGGCATCCTCCTCCACCTGAGTGGTTAAAGATTAATCTTGATGCAGCACTTAAAAAGAATTATATGATTGGTATCAATGGGGTTGTAAGAGATGACAAAGGAAAGTTTGTCTTTGCTTTTGGTAGAAGAAAATTGCATTGGGATAATGCACAGATGGAACTTTTAGCATTCAAAGCATTGAAGGAAATCTGGCAAGAATGGACACAAGAAGTAAAAGGTATCATAGTGGAAGGGGATAATAAGAATGTTCTCCAATTTCTTCAGCAATTGTATAGCAAATCGAAGAATGTTAGAGAGAACTGGGATGATGAAGAACTCTTATTCTTTAGCAACTTAAATAATTTTATCTTTAATTGTGTTAGCCACAATTGTAATAAGTTAGCATATTATTGTGCTAACTTAGCTTTATCATTTGATTTTGATTGGGATTTCTTCCTTAAAACAACCTTCCTTCTTCCTTTGTTAAAATTGTAAAGGAAGAAAGTGAAAGATGGTTGTTCCCTCATTAGTTTGTATCTAGGCTATTTGGTGCTTTTTTTTTAATTTTATTGTTGCTCAGCATTTCTCAAAAAAAAAAAAAAGAATAGTTCTTATAGTTTAAGTGACTAAATTTATTGTAATGTACTTATTAATATGTTTTTTTGAAATCAAGTTAGTAAACATATCTTGCTAAATGTCTCTTATCAAATCTTATTTATATGCTAATCATTATTGTGTATTCTATAATTCTTTATGTTTGTTATTTCTAATTTATCTACATTCTTTTTTTTTTTTACTTATGCAAATCTTCATAATTTTTACAATTTAATTTTTTTATATGTTACAATGATTTTCTAAATGCTTCTTTTAATACCGATGGATTCAAGTGACGATCCTTCTCGTAGATCTTTAACTTTAAAGTTTTCTCGTATGAAATATTTGATCATTGGACAAAGTTGACCTAGATAGGGTGATGAAAGTGTGGGGTATAGATTAGTTCCACCAGTGATACCATCACCATTACAACCTAGCAGTCAGCAGTAGTCCCCTATTGAATAGGGTTATGGACATATATATCCACCTGTAGTTGGTGTACCACCACCCTTTCCTGTGTACTTCCCTCCTACATCAATATCAATTTCCCTCTCGGACATATGGAACTCCATTCTATTTATATCACCCCCCACCAATATCATAAACTAGTCCATCCACCATCCCTTACCCTCATTATCCCCACCCCTATTATTACCCATATCCTGTGCTGCTAGAACACTATGGAGCATCTACATAAGAAGAGGTTGGTATTGGGGATCCTACAGCTATAGCAGATAATCATCTATACATTGAACCTGACGATAATATGTAAGTTCAGTTTATTTTGTAAAGTTATTATAATTTGATATATTATACATTATTGACAAAAATTTAACCTGTAAATTTAATCCCTCAAGTACACCTACGCACAAGATTCAGGACATCATATAGAGCAAATATGATGCTTTTTAATTATCATGGAAGAAGATCACAATGGAAATTAGGGATATATGGTTTAGAGAATTCAAGTATAATTATTTGGCATGAATTAAAATATTAAATTTAATTTGTTTTAATATTATTTATTATTCCTATATTTTTTTACAGAAAAATTTTAGGTGGTTACATGAGCATTGCATGAGGATCAGAATAAATTTTGAGAGGAGAGGATCGATCAGTCATAGGGACATGTTAATGAACATTAGAAAGTCTTGCCAATATTGATTATGGATTGAAGAGGGTATATGGGTAGATTTGAGGAGAGCTTGGGTGAGCCCTGAGTTCACAAAATTGAGAGAGCAAAATAAGCAGAATAGAGCATCTAATTTTTGGGTTTAGGAAGCTCTCTTCATACTAGTGGATATGTTCCTCATACTAAACATAGATGATTACTGGTATATATATATATATATATTATTTTAACTATATCTTCTATTTTTATAAAGAGTTCCTTGGTCGGGAGCTGACACCACTAGAGTTGCATGTTTGGAATTACAAATATTAAGCTGACCATCAATGGGTTGATGAAAAGGAAAAAAAGCTCATGTGAGTATAACTTTTGGATTAATAATATAGAATATAATAAATTTTCTAATATAAATTTATTTTATGGATTTATTCTTGCAAATAATTTTATACGGGTTTGGGAAAGTCATCAATTTACTAGTGAGGGATCATCTTCAGAATCGACCCAATATTTTGAGTATCATATATGGTCATATGTTATTAGAGGAAGGTAGAGGGGGAGGATATATGACTTGGTTTCGTAAGGCTATGCTTATGAGGATAGTTCATCTACATCAACATTTTATGATGCTAGTGGAGTTGAAGAAACTATAAGCTAGAGAGTTATTGCCCATACTAGAGAGATAGAAGAGACGAGAAAGGTTTAAAATGAGATATAGACAGAGCTCTGATCCTATAGAGATGAAAATCAAAAGAAGAAAGAGAAAGAGACAACACATTAATCACAAGGCAACGAGGACACGGATAATGATTAGTGTTGTTATTTGTTTGATGAACTTTTTGGTGTATTCTGGACATCTTACTGTGGATTTCATATGTTATATTTATTAAAGAACATATGCATTTCTTTCTGTTTAAACATTTGGTTTTGCTCATTATGGATTTCAT